AACCCACTACATGTCCGGATGCGAATTAATGTTCGCATCGTCGGCTTGTCAGATGGGACGTTATCTTGGTTGAAGGAGTTCTCGCTTTAGAGATGATGTAATCAGTTTGGGGTAACCTGGATACCCTGCAAAGGCTAGAGGCGCGCCCTCAAACTAAAAACTCCGAGTGGCACTGGGGACGTCTGTGGTACGAAACTCCCAAGTAACTTCATGATCATGGGGCCGACTCATCCTTTCCAATCATCATGGTACAGCGAAATACAGTGTGGCGAACTTCACTGATCGCTGCCAAAGAGCCAGCCATAGCACAAAAACTTAAACACTACAATTTAGAAGCTTACTCATTCCAATTCAAACGACTATTATATCACGTATACACCAGCTCGGAACGGGATGTCTTGGTTCCAACCAATAAACCAATTCACGGCACCAAAATCTAACCGCTGCTTCGCGTGAATAACTCTAACCCCAATACCGGTAGTAGTGGAGAAGCAAGAGGGCCGGACTCCTGACCGTTCAACATGTGGTCGTGACCTACCTCTCTTCGGGTATGTACGCACTTCTTAGTTGGACTGCTTTCCACAAGACCGAGACCTAATAAGCAGCCACCTTACATTGATTCCTACTTTCTGCACTTACCTGTGCATTCTATAGATTATCACAATAAAACCATATTCGAGGCTTCGCACTATCCATCATTCCCTCCTGGTTCGTCCGTTGATCGATCCAGATATCTCGTGACCAGTGTACTCGACTGATAGACGAATAAAAATGACTTTCGGGTTTTAAATTTAGAGAGCAAAAGCAGTGCTTTTCAGTTTGGATACAACATTCAAGTAATGACGGCATGGTACGTCCTAACGACCAACCAAAACAGACAACCTGTTCAAGCGAAAGAACTAATCACAGACGAGTAGTGGTGTCGCTCAACCGAAACAGAAGAATCCGAAAGCGTCATTATGGTCAGGGGTGTCTAGGGTTGCGGCTGACCACCCTTCTCTTTTGAACCTGGCGAAATGATCCCATACGACTAAGCGTCTTACATATCCTCTGCATAGGAAGCCCTATCCACAATCTTCTCGTAGAGGGTTTTCCTCAACCGAAGTGAGTACGAAAAGACATCTGGAGCAATCACTGGGTTGGTGGACCACCGGTAGTTCACCTGATTCCTTACAAAACTCGACGGGGCGTACGGGCCGCACACTTTTCCGGTTGGGGTGATGGTTACCGGCTCGTCTGGGCATCGGGGTGCATTGGACACCTTGGACGTTCGACCTGTCCGAAGGGCGAATGATCCGATGAACTGGACAACAGCCCCATATGGATTGCTGTATTCCCACACCACACCGATGCCTTGCAAGTCAGGCTGTTGCTAGCCAAAGGCTCCGATTGTGGATTCCTCAAGAGAATTCAACGTGCTTCGCTTGGGCAACGTGGCAGTATTCGGTCCACATGCAAATCATGTACGCTTTTCTGTTCATAAAGTTTATTATACCATGATTTGTTTGGCACTCTGGATTCAGATGTGAAAATATACGGAAACATAGCAAATCACATTGCACCTAACCTATTCACTGGATTCATTACCGATTCGTATAAGGAAATAACCAAAACAAACCTTGGTATGCGTCCGGGAAACAGCAAATCGTTTTGATATTGATTCCATTGGTTCATACCTCACTGCTCCCTAGAGGAACGAAAGTCTTACATACCACATGAAAGCTGCGAAAGCTCGAGATTACGCTGTGTCAAATAGGAAACAACGGAAAATATTTCATCTTCCTCAATTTTGTCACTCAAAATACAACTGTTGGAGCTCGTCCGAAGGATAAGCACTGGGAAGCCTTTGATAAGATTAAAAAGGCCTGTCCCAGGTTTTCCTATGAATGTTTAAACCCTTAAGGTTATATCACAGATACAGGTGTAAAAACCGAAATGATATGGCCTAAATCGAGCCATACACTAGTTGAATTCACCACTTATCACGTCGCTGAACTCAATGGAGCTTCCACGATAGTACTGACGAGCCTTGCATAACAAACAGCAGATGACTAAACTGTACACTGCATTCGAGGTCACCCGAGAACTTGCATTAGGTTGGCTAAGCTAGAAAAGCAAGCGACAACTCACTGCACAGAAAAGACTAACACCGTTAACTGATGCTGTATTGTACAGAATTAGAAACCTGCATTCTCACGCATCAATTGTCTCTTCATTTTCTTCTTTGATTCTTTCTTCTTCAGTGGTTGGGCAGCGCTAGCTGCTACTTTTGGAACGATGTCATCTTTCGTGGCAAGGATAACCTCCACGTGACAAGGAGAACAAGTGTAAGGATTAATGCGACCGTGCGCCCTGTAAGTTCTCCGTCTCATCGACGGCGCTTCGTTAACCTGAAATATTGCTGTACTTGCACTGTAAAGAACTTACCTGAATATGCTTGATGTACAGGCGACTGGCCTCACCGCCCTTGATATCTTTATTGATACCGTTGCTGAAAGCATTGTGCAAAAGCTGCAGGAGCATTTGCGCTGACTTCTTGGGCCACCGACCCTGAGTGGTACCCCAAACCTTAGCCTGGGCTTTCCGGCCAATACCGCTGTTGAAACGACGGAAAGGAACGATTTCTTTCTTTTCTATCACGTTTTTCAAAAACGTTTGCGCACGTTGGAGAGTCATGCCCTGAGATATTTCAAGTAAATATTTATCTTACTTTAATCGCCCGAGCACATTCATGAGTGTTCTTGAAATGCGCTCTAAGATATGGAACACGAGCCTTACAAGTGCGGCTCTCGTCTTCGTCCTTCGGCTCCCACGAATACCGAACCATAATTAACTAACTGTAAAACAACTACATAGAAGAATACGCAAACAGACTAACGTGATTAGCAGGTGCAACCGCGCCGCAAAGTAACCTTGAACCACTAAAACAAATAATCAATATCCAATATCCAATTAATGGCGGAGAAAGCTCCTTGGCTTATAGATTCGCCTGCTTCTTGAGTGTTCTCGAATAGATCTAGAGTCCAGATGAGGTTCTGTTTAGTTCGTTTTCGCTTCGATATAAACTCCAGTCGGTCAATTTAGGTCACCAATTCAGTTAACTTCAGTTCAAATCAGTTCTCACACGACGAATTGTGGCTCTTGCCAATCGGGCCTCCAAATTCGTGTTTTGTTGACAATTTTTCCTGCCTTCCAACACTTCGATATGCAATTTTTCTGAGAGGCAGAATATTGTGGTGCAGTATAATATTCTTTGTGGTTGTCTTGAAGTCTTGAAGTAACTCTCAGGTTCGAGGCTGGTGCCCAATGGTCCTGGATCCTTAATGGTGTCTTTTCGTCGGTTCTTAAAGAATGCAAATGGAAAATCAGAGAAAACTGGAGAGGTAAAATATCGTCTTGCCCGGGGACTAGCGATGCTAGTTATACTGGCAACATTATTAATAAATGTAACAATTTGCTATAGTAAATGAGAAAAGGCATAAATAACTAGAAGAGGGCTATAGTAAGTATAAAAAATATTTTAAAAAATTAAAAAAATGTTTTTGTTTTTTGTTTTTGTTTTGTTTAGGTTATAGGCATTAGCTAAACGCCTACCTCTAGGAAAACCGGTATCCAACACTCATCAAGTAACTCGAGATGTGTCACCGATGGAGAAGTGTAACCGTCTGCTGTTAGTACTACTCCTCTGGTGCAAAATGGTCTTAAAGTGTCCTCACAGTTGACGGGGCGGCGATAGTGCCATTAGTTCGCTGTGCGAGTGACTCTGCGTTGATACTATTTTGTGTATCAATGTTAAGTCCCTCTCTCAGCCTCCTGTAGGAAAAGGTGAATAGGTTGAGTCGCTTAAATCTATCTTCGTAGCTAAACCGCGATAGTCCTGTAGTGTGTGCATGGACCTGCCTCAGTATCACCTGCATTATCTGGCGGCAAGAGAAAAGGCACTTAGCATTCAAAGACACCGCCTAAGGGAATATGAGAGTAGGACGGCTCGCAACACCAAATAACGACTAAAAGCCTACTACAAATATGTGCATTTTAAGGCCCACTCTCGAGTAGCGGTCGGTAATGTAGTAAATGCTGATGGTGTTAGTGCGGCCACCAGCAAGAAGGCTGAAGTTCTCAAGAGCTTCTTCGAGGAAGTACACTGACCTACCAGAGAGGCTCCTCGAACAGCACATGCCTCCGTCGGTCTTAAAGGCAAAGAAGGTAGAAGTGCTACTGAAACAGCCAAATCAGAACAAGGCCTCAGGCCCGGATGGGCTGTATCTATCAATCCTGCGGCCCATTGCTGACATCATTGCAGGTGCGCTGGCTCAGCTTTTAAACCGATCCTTTGCCTCAGCAATGCTGCCGGCCGACTGGACCACGGCAGAAGTGGGTCAAGGGCAGCTGCATCGAACTATCAGCCAGTAAGCCTGCTATCAGTAATCCTGAAAACCTTCGAGGGTCTCCTTAGAGAGAGGTTGGTGGGATATTTGGACGACCAACACCGCAAAGCTGCCCAACAACACGGTTTTTTCAACAGAAAAACGTGTCTCACTAACATCCTATGATTTCTGGACGAGGTAACAGAAAGTTTGTACACAAGGGATCGAGTCGAAGTTTGCTACCTTGATTTCAGAAAAGCCTTCGACTCAGTCAACTACGGGTTCCTCCTGCGCAAACTGGAACCCTGCAAGTAGACCAGCAGTTAGTGAGGTGGATCAAAGCGTACCTACATGAGAGGACATTCCATGTGAGGGTGGGACAGGAAACCTCGGAGACCGCAGTAACCAGCAGTGGGTGTAGGTCAACCAATTCGCACTTGAGTGACGCGTAGCCGAACCTATACGAATCCTGAATTAAAAACACAATTGATCCACAATGTTCTACGGTACTGAATTAAAGACATCATTGCAAAATGTACAATAAAGCAAATCTCAAATATGCAGCCAAAAGCACTCAAACAAGCGAGCCAAATAAGATGTCCAGAGAGAGGCAAACAGTCGCTCCCGTTCTCAAACCACGCCAAATTCAAGTGTACCGGGCATCCAAATTAACAGATAAATAATGATGTATGGTGTTTGTGATCGAGAAATGTCAATATAAGAGCAACACACAGATAAGGTTATTTCACCATGAATCATTATGGGTTCAGAAGGATTTTGAAAAATTCAGCATGGAATACACCGGCCTCCAAAATCCTTCCTGCGCTTGTCTGGGTCAAAGGGTTGGCGCAGGTCATTGATTCTTGTCTACCTATCTACCTACCTGGTCCCTGCTGTCAGTGCTTCTAACTACGAACCCTTCAGCCTTCGCCGCACTCGATCTTGATATCTGGCGACTTGCACATTGTGATTGTGTGTAAGTGAATGGGTGGATGTTGTGGGGACATGAATCACACTTTCGAGGTTAATGTCATAAATTGTGTATCAATCTGATAAAGAGACACTCAGTCACGAAATGAAATGGAGAAAACGTATGGCAAGGACGTGGAAACGTGCGTTTATATACAGGTGGGGTGAATATCACTGGAGGCGCAATTGATACAAGGGGAAGGTAAGCAAGCGATGACACACTCAGTCAAGTGCTTTGCTAAAGTCCATATAGCATACTTCCATTTCCTTACCCTCGTCTAGTCTCTCTGTCACTTCATCTGAGAAGTGCGACAGGTTGCTGAGACACAATTTTCCTTTGAGGAACCCGTGCTGTGCTGCAACCAGCGGGGCGGGGGTGCTGATGATTCGCTCCAGAACTTTGCAAAAGATGTTCGTGAGATCTACTAGACGATAATTCTCCACCGTTTGTCTCGGTTCTTCTTGTGTATGGTGACCACAGTTGCAATTTTTCAAGTCTGTCGTATCCTGCCCTACTCTAGAGTTTTTTTTGTACAGGTGGCAGAGTGGGCCGCCTATAACTTCGGCCGTATTTAACTAAGGCTGGGTGGATGCCATCTGGTCCGGCGGATTTGGTGGAGTTAAGCTCACCAAGAGTTCTACGTACATGTTTTAGCCCCACATGTAATTCGGGGATACCCGAACAAGCGGTGCGGAGATCAGGCTGTGTAGTAACGAGTTGATTCATTCTGCGTACGCTTTGGAAATAGTCCTTAAATCGCACTGCTATATCGAACTCATGGGTATTACTTCTCCCTCCTCCAATATCAGAGACCCTAACTTTTCGCTGACCCCTCCCTTAGGTTGGACCTAGCGGTAGTACCTTATTGGCTGATATTTGGCATAATTTGCTCCTAACTACGTGGTCGCTTTTGCCTAGCGGTGGATGGAGGGTAATATCAATCAAATCCCTATCACTTGTAATTATTAGGTTGAGAAGGGACGACCTATGTCCCTCTCTGTACCCGGTGCACTTCCGGACATGTTCTTGTAGGGCTCTCTAGTGCATCCATGCTACGAATGCGCTCTCCGATGTTTCTGTCAGTGCCCGCTCAACATCCCAGTCTATTTTTGGAAAATTCAAACCTCCCACTATTTAAACGCCTTGTGTCTGTATATGTTATTGAGGGCGCCTAGGAGTGTCTGGTCCTCCTAGGGCGTGCATTCAGGGCTCTTGTAGACTCTTGCTATGCAAACCCTCGTTGCAAGAAGAATCAATGATATAGAGCACGGGTGCACGTTCTAAGTGCACTGCGTTATCTTTTCTTCATGGTGGAGTAAATCCTTTCTGACTAGGACAGCTGCTTCACCGCCCCCCCCCCGATGTACCCCCTTTCGTACCCTGTCTGTGGATTGTGAACCGGCTTAAGACTGGTTAGGCTATGTGGTCATCCTGAGTTAACCACGTTTCAGACAGAACAGTTACGTCGGCCATCGTGCCCGCAGCCACTGTGGCTAGCTCTGCCCATTTTTTTCTAATAGTACATGCATTGGCATGCAATAGTACCAGTGATTCCTCGTCCCCCAGACAGTACCATTTATTTACTCGGATTTTCTCCTGGAAGGTAGTACCCGATTAGACAACCCGTTTTTTGGATGGGCTGGAGTACCAACTGCAACTGCGACCACCGTTTCTTCTAGCTCGGGAGGAAAGGAAAAGTATGCTGATCCCTGTGACAGCATAGGTTGTTCTGAATTGGTTTTGTCCGATCCGATTTGGGAATACATCCCTAAAGTGAGGTCCTTGAATATATCTTTGAATATGACCACATTTGGTTTTTCTGAGACCCGTGGTTCCCTGAGCAGTTGCTTTGGCAGAACCCTAGCACTCGCGCGTCCTGTCATGTAAGTATGCGGTCTCCTATTTGGTATCCACACTTGCGGTTCATCGTGGACGATTTTGAATCGCCCTTTAGTGGTGCTGCATACTAAGTCTACTCGGGATAGCAGCAAATCCCTATCTAGTGGTTTATCGAATTCTACTAGTATGGGTCTGGGTGGCGCCTGCGGTGCTTCCGGGGGTAGTGTTTCCCACCTTCCAATCCGATGCACTCTCCTAATTACTATGTTTGGCGGAGCCCCGGTTAGCCTAAGTATGCCGCAGACTCTGCGCCTGTTCATTTCCCTACGGGCTTTTGATGCCCTTATATTCGGCTCCTCATTGTCAAGTATGAGGAGGTTTCTTCGAAATTCACCTGTGGGGGTACCTACTGTAAGGGGGCTACTCACTTACTTTTTCATCTCCTGGAGCTTTTTTTCTAATCTATCTCTACTCCCTTTTGAAGGAAGGATATTTCTACCGACTCCAGGTTTTGAACCTCGGTGTGGCTTAGAATGGTATGTACCCTGACGTGCCTTGGGGTTCATCGCAGAGAGCGGTTTAGTTAGCGATGTGGATACCACTGCTGCCTTCTACGTCCTAGGCAAAACTGTTTGCCAAGAGATCTAACTCTGCGGC